TACTTTCTATTTCTATGGATTTGCCTATTTTGGGCAATTTATTTAAATAGCTTCATATAGTATCTGGCCTTTTGTGACTGGGTTCTTTCAGTTGGCATTATGTTTTCAAGATTCATCCATGTTGTGGCATGTATCAGTCTTTTATTCCTTTCTATTGCTAAATAATGTTTCACTGTATGATTTTTTAATTTTTATATGTGTTTAGTGTTATTAATGTCCCAGTTTATGGTTTTAAATGTATCATGTTGAATCTACTTTGCAGTGTTTTTATTAACATTTTTTCAGAAATGTTGTGATTTCTGTTTTCATTTAAGGAGATCTGGTTGCACTGTGGCTAAATCATTGGGTTGCTACCCAGAAGGTGGGTGATTCAAACCCACCAGCCACTCCACAGGAGAAAGATGAGGCAGTCTGCTTCCGTAAAAATTTACAACCTTGGAAACCTGATGGGGCAGTTCTGTTCTGTCTTAATAGGCTTATTATGAGTTGGAATTGATTTGATGGCAGTAGGTTTTGGGTGTGTTTTTAAATTTTCTTTTTACCGAAGAGTTGTTTCACAGATTTGTAAAAATTTTCCAGATGGACTTTAAATTTTTAAATTTTATTACTAATTTCTAGTTTTATTGCATTGTGATTTGAGTGTTATTCGTAGATTTGCAGTGGTTTGCAAGATTCCTAGTTTTGTTGTGCTCTTTTCTGTCAGTGTTGTTATAGTTTAATTTCTGTAGTAGATTTGTAAAAAATTTTTTCAACAGATGCACTGTGCGTTCTGATTTTTTTGTTGTTGTTGTCTTGCCAGACCCTAAAATTTCCCCTTTTGTTTCATTTTGCTTACCCCATCCAGTTTCCAAAGGGCACCTCTTCTCTTTTCCCCTTTTTTCTCCTAGAAGCTATGCTTCTCAAAGATTGCCACCTCAACTCTCCTGTAGTTTTTGGTCCATTGCTTGTAGTCATGCTTTATTTATAGAAATATTTTTTTTAGTATTTTCATATCTAGGAGGGAATTCTTTCTCTTCCTAGTGATAGTTTCCTTTTTTTTTTAAACTTTTTTATTGCAGTTTGAGTGAAGGTTTATAGAGCAAATTAGCTTTCTATTCAACAATTCATACACATTTTGTGGCATTGATTGCAATTCCCACAATAAATTTGTGTTTTATTTTTTTCTCCTTTTTTTTTGTCACTTACAGATATTT